GTCCTTGAGGGGCTGGAGCGTGTGCAGGGAAGGACACGGGAGCTGGGGAAGGCTGTGGAGCGCAAGGCCAAGGAGGAGGTGCTGAGGGAGTTTCAGCCTGGACAACAGGAGCCTTGTGAGGGACCTTCAGGCACACTTCCAGAGTTCCATATGTGACAGTGCTCACCACCCAGGCTGTTTCCCTGCCAAACATGCCCTCACTGCCTTCCTGTTTTTTAGTCACCTGAAGAGGGGACACTTTTGACTAGTGGTTTGTTGGTTTACTAGGAGAAGAAGCCCTGCCTGTTTTCTCCTTTTCCAGCAAGGTTGCTTCTGTGCAACCCTTCCTGCCCTTTCCTTGCACTGGTTGGGATTCTGATCCAGTTTGATTTTTTCATGTCTGCTGCAGCAATAGCAAAGGCCTTGCTGGCTATTTCCTACTTCTCCATTCCAGAGCTCTCAAGAGCCCAATGCTCCTTTGTGCTGAGGCAACGGTACTTGCTGATGGCAGTCAGGAAAGAACTATCAAATACATAGAGTGCCTCAAATAGAGTTCTGTTGATTTAGCCCATTTTAATCTGGTCAAAGTGACCTAGAATCCCATTGCTAACAAAGTCAATGATTTCAATTTAGAAGCCGTGTTTGTGGATCTGAGGGGAAATGAGGTTATAAATGAGAGGTAATGGCTGTCCCTCATGCTTCTCTCTTGCCACAGATGGCAGAAGAAACAGTGGTCTCTGCCCTGGCTGCCTCTGCTACTGGAGAAGAAGCTGAAGAGGAGCATATCAAGGGGAATTCATTGTCTTTTGTGACAGAGAAAAACTTCTTCATCTTTTTCGCACTTGCTGTACAGGAGGTTGGTTATTGCTCTGCCTAAATTCACAGACCAATATAGAGTGCTGGCATGGTGCTGTCAGAGCATGGCTGCCATGTGGTCATGGTGACAGCAGAAGGTTGTCTTGGTGCACGGAAGGCCTCAGTGTCAGAGCAACCCAAGGGCTTGCTCAGGGCAGGAGCATCTTCCTTCTTGAGGCGTTTGTCAGTGGGAGCTGCCCAATGACAAAAGCCTTGTTTTTTCTAGTGTTGCAGCATAGCCTTTCAGGCTTTCACCAGTGCTACAGTGATTGAAGAACTCACTCATGCAGCTTTCACAGCTTACGGAGTTTGTTATTCTGGCTACTACCTGACCAACCTCACATGTAAGTAGAGGTTTTCCCTGGGTGTACCCGAACCTGGATTTTGTATGTCTTCCTACTCTTTCTTAGTGCCTGAGTTATTTTGAAACAGAAAGAGCACCAGTGTGCCACTGGTTTGGTAAAGCTCCTGTCAAGGCGTTCAGCTACAAGGGGATTTCTGCAGCCACAGGGGCAGCATTTGCAAGGGGACCTGCAGGGGTTCTGTTTCCTCCATGGGAGAGTCTGAGGCAGCGGAGTCTGTCATTTCCTCAGTTTGCTGGGACAAGCAAGACAGCTTTGAAAATGTAAACTGGAGACCTTCTTGGAAGACCTTCTAACAACTGTGCAGTATTTCCCAGAATTCAGGGAAAGCTTCTTTCTTTCTACATTTTGTCATGAAAGGATTTGACTGTCTAACTTGACCCTTGACTGAGTGTTAAATAGTGATTCCCTTTGCAAGGAAGAGCAAACTCCAAAGCAGGGAGTGTCTGCTCCTGGACCCTGGAGCTGCTGCTGTGCTGTGTCACGACAGAATTGCCACAGGTCAAGGGGTGTTTGGGGAAGTTTTTCTGGGAACCTTCCAGAAAGTTAATGAGACGTAGTGCCTGCAGCTGAGTTAAAAAAAGAAAAGGATCTGAAAGAGAGGATAAAAGAAGCTGCTTTATATGTTTGGCAGAAGAGGAGCACCTAATGTTAAAGAACAATTTGCATTTTCTTCATCATATTTCTATTCATTTACTGGCCAAACAGGCCAAAGTGTAGGCACAATCAACAATATTGTCCTGATCTCTTGCTGGTTGTGTGAATTAAATGTGTTACCTGAAGGGATGCTGTGAAAGGAAAATAATCTCAGTTTGGCTTGACATGTTCTGGGGGATTCACCATCCCAGGTAGTTTTCTGACAGCATTTGAATTATTTTTCCTTGCCCACTACAGGCCAAGTGATCCATTTATTCAGAAGTACAGATCATGAGGTGAGTGAAAAAGGAACATTTCAAGATTCTGGTGTTTAAAAATTATAGAGCAAGCTGAGAGCATGACCAGTAGCAGTAAAATGTAGAGAGCCAGTTGTGTAGGCCAAAGAAAAAATGCATGTTAATGCTTGCAGCAGCAATAACAAAAGCATCACTGGCTAATTCATAAACTTTTCCATTTCAGAGCTTTCAACAATTAAAAAGTCAATTACAGAAATAGAACATTGCTACCTGATAGTAGGCAGGGTGCAGTATAAAATTGGGAGCAATTTGCATTACAGATGGATTAGTCAATTTTAATACCATGAGAACGCCTTAAATCACATTGCTATCAAAGTTTCCCAATTTCATTGGAAGATTTGGTGGTAGATATGAAAAAGATAGGTAATGGCCTGTCCCTCATGCTTCTCTCTTGCCACAGATGACAGAGGCAAGAGCAGTGTCTGCCCTGGCTCCATGTGCTCAAGGAATTGAAGCCAAAGAGGAGGAAATTGAGGAGTATGACCACAAGGCTCCATCAGGTGTCACAGCAGAGCCTGAATCTTTGGAGCCAGTAAGTGCCAGTTGTGGGTGGTGCTGTCTTTAGTGCAAGGCAGAGCTGCAAGTTTCTGAGCAGCCAGCTCTTGCTGTTGCTTGCAGTCCTGCAGGACGTAGCCATTTCCTGTAGGCAGTGACAGCTAGAACTTGGCCCTCAGCTCACTACAAGGGCTTTTCCCCAACCAAACACTCCCTCACTGCATCCCAGTGCTTTAGATGCTGATATCAGTGACACTCCCTGCCGGTTGTTGGTTGCATTTTTGTTTTGCTGGTTTAGTATAGGAAAAGCCCGGTTGATTTTCTCATTTTCCAACAAGCAAAGAAGCTTCTGCCCAATGTTTCCTGCTCTTTTGCAGCACTGGATGCGATTCTGATCCAGTTGGAGGCTTCCATGTCTACAGTGGAAATAGCAAAGGCGTAACTGTCTGTTTCCTACTTTTCCATTTCAGACCTTTCAAAAGACAAAAGCTCTGCATTGCAGAGACAAGGCTGCTTGCTGATGGCAGCCAGGGAGGAATATCAGCTACATATCCATATGCAGTTCTGTTGATTTGGCCCGTTTTAATTTGAATGGTGTGGCTTAGAATTATTTTGCTCTGAAATTTTATGTTTTCTCCTTGGAAGACAAGGTGGTAGAAGTGAGAAGATAGGAGGTTCTAAGACATAGATAACGGCCTGTTGCTCATGCTTCTCTCTTGCTTCAGCTGACAGAGGCAATAGCAGTGTCTGCCCTTTCTCTCTCTGCTTCTGGAGAAGAAGCCAAAGAGGAGCAAATTGAGCAGCATGACTGCAAGTCTCCGTCAGTGGTCACAGCAGAGCCTGAATCTTCTGAACCAGTAAGTGCAGTGCCAGTTGTGGGTGGTGCTGTCTTTAGTGCAAGGCAGAGCTGCAATTTTAAGACCAGCCACCCCTTGCTGTTGCTGCCTGAGGATGCTGAGTGCTGGAGTCCTGCCAGGAGCCAGCGATTTCCTGCAGGCAGTGACCTCCAGCTACAAATTGGCCTTGGACCTGTCACCTTGAGGCACTGAAGAGCTGGGGATTCTGGCTGAAATTCTGGCTGCTTGGCTCAGTGAAGTTCTGTCTCTGGGATTCTGCAGTGACATGGCCAAGGGCGCACGTGGCAGTGCTGCCGGTGGCAAGGCTTGGTTTGTTTGTTTTCCCTTTGTGGAAATGTGTGTTTGGCTTGTGGAAGTGTTCTGCAGTGTTCTGGAGTAGTTCTTCACTTGTACATTCTCTATTCTAAGCTGCAAGGAGATGATTGTGCTGTCCATGAATCTGTGGGGTGCCATTCTTGTTGGGTGTGGCCAAAGAAACCAAGTGCCTCATTGGGAAGGATCCTTGTATGGCAAAAAGCAGAAGTGGCAAGTTTCTGTGGACGCCTTTTGCCATGAAGCCACAGCTTTGGAACTGGCATTAGGGCCTAGGGTGGGGGTGAAGCTGCAAGTCCTTGATTACTGTCTTGTTTGGCTGAGAAGAGGCAGGACGTTTTTGACCTGGGGATGCTGTATTTGAAGTCAAACAGGCAACTTTGTGGTGGGGCTCCTTTAT